TACGTTACGTGTCGTTTGGTTACCCTTAAATAAAAGCAACAGAAATACACCGCAGTTCAATAGTAATAAATCGATTTAACTGAAACAAATCCGGGTCACAGACCAAAACCGAGGGAAACACATCAACTATAAGAGGAAAACAACGGAACAACATGTACACTGAACTGCTACAAAAAACAAACGCCAACATACATAGAAACGGACTATTTGATAACAACTGTCATGTTCCTGACTTTGTACAGGACATTTTAAGAAAAAAATGATGGGTTGAACCTTGTTTCATGGCTACCCAAACCTCCCGCTTATTTGGCAATGTTAAAAAATACCGCTAAAATGACAACATTACGTGACACGAATACATTACAATTAAACTCAAGAACACTCAGGACAGAGAGAGATACATAAATAAATAATATAATAGTACATTACAACATGTAAACAACAGAATAACAACGGACACCTCTCATTTACACCAAAATAAAATTATGAACTATGCGTCACACGAATATGTCAACGCCACAAAAAGTGACGTCACAGGAAAATTTCTAAAAATAGAATATAAAATTGCGATTAAGTTTGTAAATGGTGTTATTTTATGTATTTTCTAACCATTACAAGAATATTGATATAGAATTGTGTTAGTAATGGTGTAATTATTTATATGTTCTAACCATGTCAGTTTTTCTTCTAAATCAAAACTAAAAACAAACTAATCCTGTGCATAAAGTAGCTTTAAACTAAAAATCATATAATAAAACTAGCTGATTAATTATCTTAATTTTTACATACAAGTAGATGATAAAAATAGAATTCAAACCACAAACGATAAGACATAACACAATATGCAACCAGAATAACAAACGAAACACCATAACTAAATACATGAATGTTGAATGTATAAATACCGAGACACGTCTAATAGCAATGCGAATTCACACTCGGGAAAGCAGTCATATTCGGGAAAAGGTCACGTTCGGTACTTATCAGACCAGACGACGTAGATGGTAACCCACAATCTAAAACGTTGTAAAAATTACGTTCTAGTTTAGACACAGACACATCGTATAGATCAATCAATTCGTGATGGTGTCCGTAAAAATTTTAATCTTTCCTCCTCATAACACTGTTTGAGCAGTTTCTGCGTAAGGAGCACACTTCTGTAAATGAAGTCCTTATAGTGTGAACATGCACGAGTATAACATATCAACTGAGATATGTAAACACCATACGATGAGGCAGAAGGTATGTTACTGCTGAGAAATGGGAAATTGGTAACTGGGATGTTGAAATCGTCCAGTTTGTGATAGATTTTAGTGTGAAGTCGTCCATCTGTGTCAATATTGATGAAAAGATCAAGGTATGAAGCAGTTCTTCTAGAATCAGTAGTATCCGTAATTTCAAGTTCACTGGAATATATGAGATGTAAGCACTGACGGAAATATGGGTTATTGAGTGAAAGGACTTTTTTTTTGGAGGGGTGGAGGCAAACATATCTTAGGTAAAGTTGGTGGACATGTTTGATCGAATAAAAACTTATATTAAAAATGGCCTGTTGGTCAACATATGACATGTTGTCGACGTCACAGTCAACCTTCACATGGGTCTGGATTAGAGGTTCATTAATTCTGCAGTCTTAAATTGTTATGTCATTTTCCTCTTTTCTTTATATTTAAACACCTAATTATTCTCTATTCTTATTTTTGGCCCTTTTTTCTCTATTCTTTATTGTTCTGCAGTTTTCGCCTATGATCTCGTTTCTAAAATCCCCAACACAACCTGCTTCATCAGGTATGCTAGACGTCAAAGTTTCTGAAGGCCAAAAATAAAATATCAAAGAGCATAACAATCAAATGAGTCTGATTTGCATCTGCACTATTTTAAGCCTACTTTATGGTATTGTATTGTTTTACTGCCGTGTCATGACCTGTAGTAGTTTTCAAACTTTTCTATTGTTCTTTTGTGAATAGTTGTCTCATTGGCAATCATACCACACCTCCTATTTATATACTAAATAAAACAGCTTCCACGATCTACGGTCCATTTTGTATAAATTAAAAATGAGAAAAAATTGATATAACACGTAATCAGGATACATATAAAAGAAGAAGATGTGTTATAATTGCCAATGAGACAACTTTCCATCAGAGACCAAATGACATAGAAGTTAACAACTATAGGTCACCATAAGGCCTTCAACAATGAGCAAAACCCATACCACAAGTTCAGCTATAAAAGGCTTCGAAATGACAAATGTAAAACAATTCAAACGAGAAAACTAACGGCCTGATTTATGTAGAAAACAATGAACGAAATACAGATATGATATACAGCAACAAACGACAACCACTGAATTACAGGCTCCTGACTTTGGACGACAGATACAGAATGTGGCATGGTTGAACTTGATAGTGGGCGCCCAACCCTCCCCTAACCTGGAACAGTGGTGTAACAGTACAAAATATGAACAAACTATAAAAATCAGTTGAAAAAGGGTTAACTCATCAGATCGATACATAGCAGAAAAACAAGTAACAAAAACACAGACCGACGTGGCAGGGTATTTATACATCCCTACAACAAAATAGCAGCTAAGTAAAGATCTGAGAGTACTCGCAGTTTCTGACAGCTAGTTCAAAGCCAAAATCTACTAATAAAAAAGTCATGTATCTTAGACTAAAATATCATTTAGCACACATCTAACATCCATTGGATTTAGTTATTAATTTTTGTTTTATTTCTCCATGTATCTTCTGTATTTAAAACATTATTATTTTCTAAAACCTTATTTTGTTAATGTATAAACTACTACGTACTAGTTGACACAAAATTAGGTACACATTGATCGTTATTATTATTCACGTTAGTTGATAGCTGACTAGCTTTATAAAGAGCGTTTAAATTGTCAAGTAGTATTAGTTGTACACTGGCATGTAATATCAATATGTACTGATAGTTAATTTGATGCCCATATATCACTTGTTTCTAAAATAACCTTTCAGTGGACTTTTTTCTTATGGGTAGTCAATTAAGTACCGTAGACGGTATTTGGTTGTTGTTTTTTTCGGTACTTGCTTTTGTGTTGTATTTGAAAACACTTAGGCTAGCTAGATGCGTGTTACTTTATAGTACTAATAATCTACATCCCGTCAATACTGTTTACTTATATTCTGGCATTGCACAAGGTCGTGCGTTTATCAGACTGAAAATCACGTCTTTACACTAAATATGTTGGATGTGTGCTGATTGGTACTATCGTCTAGAAGAACATGATTTTTTTATTAGTTGTAATTGGCTTTGAGCTAGCTTTCAGTAACTGCCAGTACTCTCATATCACTACTTTGAGACGATTATTTTATGCTAGTTTATGTTTGTGCTTCGTACCGATCTATTTAGGTAAGCAATTAAAAACTGATTTGTATAGTTTGTTCTTTTGTTGTGCTGTCACATCACTGTCCCAAATTTAACCGCGTCATAATACTTATGGGCCTGTCTTAAGTCAGGAGCCTGCGATTCCCAGTTTGTGTTTTACTGTTCTTGTTTTGCTTTAGTTATTTGCGTCGTTGTTTCATTGACGTATACTTCACATCTTGAAATATTGAAATCAACTGTGATTTTTGAGAAATTGCATGTATAGTTTTCTTAATTCTACAACTGAGTTTGTTAAACATTAACTCGTTTATAATTTGTTCTTCAGATATTTGGTCGTCACCATATGCATAATCTGTAATTTATATTTGAAAAGAACCAAGTATCTTCTGAAAATATCTTAAAACAAAAAAAAGAAAACTGAACACTAAAGAAGAGACAGGAATGTATTTGGAGATGTTCTGCTGAGTACACATTGACAAAATAAGGTTTTAGAAAATGATAATGTTTTAAATACAGAAGATACATCCAATGGAGAAATAAAAAAAAAATTAATAACTAATTAAAAAAGTTAATAATTAGTAATATGACAACTTCAGATAAGAGAACAAAAAATTTTACACCATCCCGGTAGTCAATACTGCACTATCTTTGATATAACTATAGATTTACAAAACTCTGAATTGTTCGATATACTAATGATTTTCTACCCCAGACATAGAGCAACTTAGCTATATTTACCAAAACGTTTAGAAATTTTGGGTTTTCAATGCTCTTCAACCTCGTACTTTATTTGGCCTTTTAACTTTTTGACTCGAACGTCACTGATAAGGCTTTTGTAAATCAAACGCGCTTCTGACGTACAAAATGTTAAGTCTTTCTTTGTTGAATTATTTACATATATGTTAACATATATATTATACATAAAAAGTTAAATAACAAAAATACTGAACTCCGAGGAAAATTCAAAACGGAAAGTCCCTAATCAAATGGCAAAATCAAAAGCACAAACACATCAAACGAATGGACAACAACTGTCATATTCCTGACTTGGTACAGGCATTTTCTTATGTAGAAAATAAATAATGGAAATAATATCTAAATAAAGGAAATTATTATTATTATTATTATTATTATTATTATTATTATTATTATTATTATTATTATCAGAGGAAAAGCATGATTGATGGTTTGTTTTACATAAACATATATCATTCCATTTTTTATATTTTTCATATGTGTAGTTTTTTCAGTGATAACACTTTTTCTAATCTCGTGCACGATAAATGATATGTTTGAGTAAAACAAAATCATTTCGCAGAGATTTGTAGTTCATACACGTTTTTCGATAATAAGAGTTGTATAATGAACTTTATAATTCTATGCTTATGTTCTTAATTAACAAAACTAATTAGCATGCAAAAATTGTAAAATTTGACATTACTGAGGCAATATTTAGTTTCTAAATTTTATATATCATGAAGAAAAGGAACTATTATAGTATATCTTCATTCTCAAAATCTTTTTTCAAATAAATTTTATAATGAATTTGTTTTGATGTAAATGAAATACATATTTACCATAACTTTTCAATATGTGACGAAAAGAAAAACATTCAGAAACTAATATATTACCTGAAGTTGAAATATAACATCCGGGTCGTAGTCCAGTCGAACTGCCTCTACATACCCAAGGCACAAGATAATTAAGAATTGTAAAATCATAAGTGGTGGAAGAGTCATCACACTGCTATATAAAGTTAATTCGGCTCACAAAGATCTTCTCTTCTCAAGTATATCTAAAGCGTGATTAAAGTTTCCAGAGGCAAAAAATATCTTAAGCATACGACTCTGACCACTTTTAAAGTAAATGAGCTAGTATCAACAGTTTAACCACTTCGACTAATGTTCTTAATTTACGCCTTTTTTCCTGCTTTTATGAAGACTTAAAGTGGGTAGTCAAATCCAAGCGTCGTGTGTTGTTTTAAAAAAAATCAATGAAGCGTGTAATGCGATACAGTGCAGACGTCTCTCGCGGGTGTAGTAAAGATACTCGAATTAAACAAAGCTGTTAATAATTTAACGGATTAAATGAGGTAGTGAGAATTATACGTCAAATCTACTGGCCAGTCCTCCATTGCTCAGTAGGAAGGTAAAAGTATTCATGAATATAAATTAATGTCACAACCTTTGAAAAATAAATAATGAAAATGTTTTTCAATTAAAACAATGATGATTTATCAGATAGATGCATGATTTCAGATTTTTAGATTAGTTTAAAATTTGTTAATTACGATTTTTTTTTATTGTCCCAATTTGTTTAATTTTTATTGTTGAATTGTGGGATCGATTTTACTTTAATATCACAAGGAGAACGAAATGAAATATTTAATATTCATACAATATGTCCGATAAGTATTTTTACAATTTCAATGTCTATATGGAACATTCAATGGGGACAACAGATTCGACGCTTTCATTAATAAATGCACATAAATGTATCAAGATTACATGATTAAAATCAGTTTTTTTTATCATCAAAGGTCCTTTACGGAACTATACAAGAATGTAAAATAACAAAAATACCGAACTCGAAGGAAAATTCGAAACGGAAAGTCCCTTATCAAATGGCAAAATCAAAAGCTCAAACACATCAAACAAATGGAAACAGCTGTTTTAATCCTGACTTGGTACAGGCACTTCCTTATGTAGAAAATGGTGGATTAAACCTGGTTTTATAGCTAGCTAAACCTCTCATTCAGTGATGCAAATGGGGGATAAAGTTAGCTCTATAACAAGGTTTAACCTGCCTATTTCCTTCTTTGTAATGCCTGTTCCAATCCAGAGATATGACAGTTGTTTTTTCAGTTTCGTTGGTGAATACAGTCGAGCGTTTGGTTTTGCCAATTGTTATGGACTTCACCTTTTTATATTTACCCTTTAGTTTGGTACTTTTTTGTTGATATATTTATTACTGATAAATATATTTCATACATATACAGTTTTTACTATTATTATTTATGTACATATACTTTTCTTCGAAGCAAACATTATTACAAGAGATTTCCCATGATTTTAACGTTACAATAGTTCTATTGTTCGGAGATTATATTTCTCACTTGATTTGATATGTGTGTGTAGGGGTCTTAGATATTTGTTCATGATAACAAAATAACCTTTAAATGATAGACGATACCACTTGCAATTACTGAATAAAAATGAATATCTGAAAACAATATTGTCACTCCAAGCTTTCAATAATAACATTAATTATAATGAAATATAAGATACAATGCAGCATTATGATTGCCAATGAGACAACTATCCAACAGAGTCAATCTAACTTCAGTATTATCAATTGCAATTCACCGTGGAAATCTGCATGACGGGTAATGCAGGCATAGCAAAAGACGCTTCGACACACCCACCGGCGATTCCCTCCGTTTTGGTTTGTTACTTTTTTTGTATCGTCTTCGTTAATTTATGAAATTTGAACATCGGCAGTTTGCTGTTGGCAAAAGAAAGTGGAAACTTGTGTTTCGTGGTGATTGCGTGTAGTGATCGGAGTCTTCTTACTTACGGAAGGTTAGTGTTCCGAGCTGATGGTCTTTACGGCATTCAATACGTTGATGTAGGATCATATCGAGGTGTATATAAATGTAACTGTAACTGTGATTTAAGCTCACTTAAGAACATCTCGATCACCACAGTCATTACTACTTTAGAGGCAGTTGGGGAAACTGTGCCACTAGCATGTTTGCGTTTGTTACTGTTTCAAATAAAATTATTTTTCATAGAGAACTTATTATCAACATCATTTTTATCAAAAACGTCATATACCGATGGTATCATCTCATTATGTCTAGTGATTTCACTGTGTTGCAATTTTTGGCGACATTGATAGGCGAGTAAAAAGTATGATAAACAAGCAAATATCACAACGAATATCTTTCTGTTATTATACCAACAAATTTCCAATATTGAAATGCAGTAATGGGGCCATTTATAGCCGACAATATGGTATGGGTTTTTCGATAACGTTATATGCTGATGGTATCATCTCAATAAGTCTAATGGTTTTAGTTGTGGGTTAATCCATCATTTTCTACATTAGGAAATACCTGTACCAAATCAGAGATCGATATTTTTGTTATTTTACTTTTTGCAATTTTTGGCCACACCGATAGGCAAGTAAATAGTTTATTCAACTTTTTGGTCGAAAGAAGATCGTTCTAGGCCACGAAGTCCAACACCGAATTATTTAGTATAACTCTGCATTGACGTTATACACACGAACGTCTGCTAAGAGAGTTGTTTTCGTCTGTTGCAAAAGTACTATTAACACAATGTTAATATAAAGTGTGTCAAAGTCAAGTATGATAAACAAGAAATATCACTCCAGACATCCTACTTTTAATATAACAACACATTTTCAACATTGAAATGCAATTACGGGACAATTTATATTCGACTATACGGTATGGGTTTTTCTCATTGTTGAAGGTCGTACGGTTGCCTATAATTGCTCACATCCACTTTATTTTAACTTTGGTGGATAGTCTGATTGGCAATCATACAACATCTCCTTATTTTAATATTAAGGTTATGAAAATGACCCAATGGTTTTTACTGACATGTTGGGTAATCGTATCGTAATATTTTCAAAAATATAATAACAATCAAACGCCGTCAAGCTAGGTTTTAAGTTGAAGCTTTTGACAAATTAACACATTTTGTAATGACATAAGAGAAGGTGCTTTGCGAAAATTAAAAGAAAAACAAATTAAAGTCGCCGTATATTTTGTCTACAAAATAAAACACAAGAACTGTACATTCCTTTATGAAATTGTATCATATCCCCTTCAAAGGCTTTGTTTAAATAAAGGCAACAGTAGTATACCGCTGTTCGAAACTCATAAGTCGATAGAGATAAAAACAAATCCGGGTTACAAACTAAAACTGAGGGAAACGCATCAAATATAAGAGGAGAACAACGACACAACAAAAACACAACATTAAAAATGTAACGCACACAGAAACGAACTATAATATAACAATGGCCATTTTCCTGACTTGGTACAGGACATTTTAAGAAAAAATGGTGGGTTTAAATTGTGTTGAATCAACATGTTCTGTCTTTGTAAAAACAGTCGAAATAATAATATAAAATCACATAATTTTGAATAAAACGTTCTTACACGAAATTACAATGAATTGTTTTCCTGCCTCTAATTTTCATCATCTAAACAAACATCTATGTCGATCGTGTTCAACTGTTTACAGTCCAAGAATGTCAGAAGACCCCGTTCCTGCCTTTAAAGCTCGATTTAAGAAAAGGACCCATATACAAATACTGTAACAAAAAAAATGTGTATAAGAAACTTTGATATAGAATTAAGAAAATTAATGAACAACAATAAACACTTATCAAACGAAGGATCTCATTTTTGTTTTTTAAACTTTCTTTTCCTACACATATAACTCTGAGTCATTATATGAAGTAGTTATGAAAACTACCATTTTATACAACTTTACGTGGGGACATCTCTAAATCTGTCATAGCGAAGACTGCCGGTGTATGCAGCTTTCCAAAATTAAATGCAATTGAGAATTGCTCAATACTGCGTGAAACATAGGATAAATGTAGGACTGTAAAAAATGATTTAAGTCCAGGTTTGTTGGGATTATTGATGTTATTCATTTATTATGTTGTTTATTTTAGATTGTAATTTATTTTTCTGTCATTGTGTTGTATGATTTGCTTTTAATTATTGTAAGTGAATGTTATCGGAAACACAAAAATCGAAAGCGACGATCAATGACATATGCAAAATACAATTATTTAAACTGTTTAAAACTTTTTTTAAATCCAAATTATGCAGCTTAGCAATATCAGTGAAAAAGATTTAATATAAGTCGAGTTTTTAATCATTATGCATGAACCTACGAAATATCTCGTAATTACGAGAAAACTATCGCGTAATTACGAGATAATCATTTTTTAACTCGTAACTACGAGATAATCATATTTTAACTCGTAATTACGAGATAATTATCGCGTAGTGACGAAAAAACTATCGTGTAATTACGAGATAATTATCGCGTAATTACGAGATAATTATCGTGTAATTACGAGAAAACTATCTCGTTTTTACGAGATAATCATCGCGTAATAACGAGAAAACTATCGCGTAATTACGAGATAAGAAGTTTTTTATCTCGTAATTACGAGATAATTATCGCGTAATTACGAAAAAACTATCTCGTAATTACGAGATAATCATTTTTTTATCGCGTAATTTCGAGAAAACTATCGCTTTATTACGAGATAAAATAATCTGCTTCGCTGAGCGCAGCTGGATACGCCCGCAGAGGTCCTACCCTGAACAGTTGGGGCAAAAATGGACACAATATTCTATCTTGATACTGGTCTGAATTTGGATTGTAAATAAATATTTGACATATTATAGGTTTCTGAATAAATGTAGTCAAAGAACTTGAAATTGGTTATATGAATTGAATTTATATTCAATTAAAGATTTCTTGCTGTTGTGCAGTACACTGTGCTGTTGCGCAATACTTCTGTTGTCAGACTATAAACAAATAAAGCTAATTCTCAATGTCATATTAGATATTTATGAAAATGTAAAGGGAGCTTACATCAATAGATATAAACTATTCATTAAAGTTTCATGAGAATTGCTGACAGCATTTTTGAGTTATTGTCCGAAAACTTGAAAATCACCCCTTTTTAATGAATAAAACCCAATAACTCAGAAATGATAAATGAAAAATTTATAAAATTCTAAACAGAGCTTACATCAATAGATATCAACAATTCACCAAAGTTTTATAAGAACTGTTGAAAGCATTTTTTATTTTTTGTCCGAAAACTGGAAAATCCCCCTTTTTTTATTAAGAAAACCCTGTAACTCGGAAACGTAAAATCTAAAATATATATAAATCGAAAGGGTGCTCATGTCAATAGATATAAACAATTCATCACAATTTCTTGCAAGTTGGTGAAAGCATTCTTGAGTTATTGTCCGAATACTGTAAAATCTCCCTTTTTTAA